CCCCTTTGTAGCTTGTCTCCCCCCCCCAACACATCCTCTGAGTCAAATCATTTCAGTGTTCAATGACTAAATTCTCCCTGTGATTCTCAGTTTCACCCCAGCCAGGAGTATCACCTTTCACAAAACACCCCTTAAGTCTCCAGAACTGCAGACTTCTTTCCCCATTTTTTGGCAATCGGAATACCTAACTGGCCAAACCGATGCGATATCACAGAATTGCCGAAAGGGACCTGCCTTCCCTCTGGGTGTCTGCAAGGTGAACCTCAAAAAGTGTGGGAAGGAAAGAAAAAGGCCTGTGTAAATGTTGGAACACGTGGAGCTTGATTTAAGGTGCTTTCCCCCCCCCCCCCCGACAGCTGGGAATCTTTTATTTCATATTGAGTGTTGTTCAATTGGAATAACGTCCAGGAAAGATCCAGCAAAGGTTTAATACTTCCTCCTGCCCTCCCCCCTCTTAATTCTGCACTACGATTCTGTTTAAAACATCCATTCACACGGTGCTAGTTTCTCTAACCATCGAGGATCGCTTTCTTCGCTCGCACAAGGCAGCTAAATTTTTTTGCAAAAGGAAGTCGAAAAAAGGTCCTGGAACTCCCGCTGGTTCTCGCTTCTCAAGCCCGGCCGCACGTGGGAATTCACCTCTTCACTAGACATGCATTTCTTGTCACAGAACGCTTTCCCAGACACGCCTCTGGGAGCTTCTTCAAGACCGTCCCAGTATCCTGATACCCGCAAGGAATAGAATAGAGTAGAATAGAATGGAATGGAATAGAATGGAAGAATAGAATAGAATAGAATAGAATAGAATAGAGATTAGGAATAGAATAGAGATTAGGAATAGAGTAGAGTAGAATGGAATGGAATAGAATGGAAGAATAGAATAGAGATTAGGAATAGAATAGAATATAGAATAGAGATTAGGAATAGAATAGAGATTAGGAATAGAGTAGAATAGAATGGAATGGAATAGAATGGAAGAATAGAATAGAATAGAATAGAATAGAGATTAGGAATAGAATAGAATATAGAATAGAGATTAGGAATAGAATAGAATATAGAATAGAGATTAGGAATAGAATAGAGATTAGGAATAGAGCAGAGTAGAATAGAATAGAATGGAATGGAATAGAATGGAAGAATAGAATAGAGATTAGGAATAGAATAGAATATAGAATAGAGATTAGGAATAGAATAGAGATTAGGAATAGAGTAGAATAGAATGGAATGGAATAGAATGGAAGAATAGAATAGAATAGAATAGAGATTAGGAATAGAATAGAATATAGAATAGAGATTAGGAATAGAGCAGAGTAGAATAGAATAGAATGGAATGGAATAGAATGGAAGAATAGAATAGAGATTAGGAATAGAATAGAATATAGAATAGAGATTAGGAATAGAATAGAGATTAGGAATAGAGTAGAATAGAATGGAATGGAATAGAATGGAAGAATAGAATAGAATAGAATAGAATAGAATAGAATAGAGATTAGGAATAGAATAGAATATAGAATAGAGATTAGGAATAGAATAGAGATTAGGAATAGAGCAGAGTAGAATAGAATAGAATGGAATGGAATAGAATGGAAGAATAGAATGGAATGGAATAGAATAGAGATTAGGAATAGAATAGAATATAGAATAGAGACTAGGAATAGAATAGAGATTAGGAATAGAATAGAATAACTTTATTGTCACTTTAAAGGTACACTAATCAGCATACATTAACGAGATTATGCACATGCACACACACACACACACGGCACAGAAACAACACAAGTCTAGTTCGGATCAACCCTTCTCTCACCCCCCCCCCCCAAAACGTCCCTAGGAGCGGGGCGTCCTGTTTGGGGAGGCGGGAGGGGGCGCTTGGATGGGCTGACGTTTCCTTGCCCCCTATTTAACCATCTTCCCCGGAGTGGACGCGAGGCCACGACGCGCGACGTGTGTGTGTGTGTGTGTGTCCGTGTCGAGGCGGAGTGGAATGGAGTGGGGGGGCGCGTCCATCCTTCCTGCCCAAGCGCGAATCCCCTTTGCCATAAATGGTCACCCGCAACTGCAGCAGCAGCAGCGGCGGCGGCGGCGGCGGCGGCTGCAACGCAGCCAAGTCGGGTTTGGCGGGCGCGGCAAGAGCGCGGAGCCTCGCTCCGGGAAGGCGCGTCACTGGGGCGGGGGCCGCCCAGCCTGCAACTGCCGGCCCGGAGTCCGGACCCAGCCTCGCCGGCCCGGGATGGACGATCTGGGTAAGCGGTAAGAAGCGGCCGGAGGGAGCCCCCCGTCTCCGCCGCCGCCGCCGCCGCGTCCTTTGGGTCTCCACCTCTTTCTCTCGCCCCTTCCCCTTTCGCCACTCGGCTTGCTTTTTTTCCCCCACCGAATTCCCGGCCGATCTTCCCTTCTTTGCATGCCCGGTCGTCATCCCCCCCCCCCCCCGCTCTCTTTTCTTCCCGGACGGCGTTCTCGTTCTCCTCTTTCCCCCCCTTCTCCCTCCTTAACATTCCCGCCTTCCTTTATTGCTGTTTCCTCGGCTTTCTTTCCGCTCTTTCCTCCCTTCTTTTCATTGACAAACGGGGCGGGGGGGTGGGGTGGAGGGAGAGGCTGATGCCGTCGCTGCACGGCTCCCCCCCCCCCCCAAATTCCACTTTTTCTTCTTCTTTCTCTTTCTCTCTCTCTCTCTCTCTCTGCGTCGCTTTTTCTTTTTTTCCGCGCAACGGCNCCCCTTTGTAGCTTGTCTCCCCCCCCCAACACATCCTCTGAGTCAAATCATTTCAGTGTTCAATGACTAAATTCTCCCTGTGATTCTCAGTTTCACCCCAGCCAGGAGTATCACCTTTCACAAAACACCCCTTAAGTCTCCAGAACTGCAGACTTCTTTCCCCATTTTTTGGCAATCGGAATACCTAACTGGCCAAACCTATGCGATATCACAGAATTGGCGAAAGGGACCTGCCTTCCCTCTGGGTGTCTGCAAGGTGAACCTCAAAAAGTGTGGGAAGGAAAGAAAAAGGCCTGTGCAAATGTTGGAACACGTGGAGCTTGATTTAAGGTGCTTTTTTCCCCCGACAGCTGGGAATCTTTTATTTCATATTGAGTGTTGTTCAATTGGAATAACGTCCAGGAAAGATCCAGCAAAGGTTTAATACTTCCTCCTCCCCTCCCCCCTCTTAATTCTGCACTACGATTCTGTTTAAAACATCCATTCACACGGTGCTAGTTTCTCTAACCATCGAGGATCGCTTTCTTCGCTCGCACAAGGCAGCTAAAATTTTTTGCAAAAGGAAGTCGAAAAAAGGTCCTGGAACTCCCGCTGGTTCTCGCTTCTCAAGCCCGGCCACACGTGGGAATTCACCTCTTCACTAGACATGCATTTCTTGTCACAGAACGCTTTCCCAGACACGCCTCTGGGAGCTTCTTCAAGACCGTCCCAGTATCCTGATACCCGCAAGGAATAGAATAGAGTAGAATAGAATGGAATGGAATAGAATGGAAGAATAGAATAGAATAGAATAGAATAGAATAGAATAGAATAGAATAGAATAGAATAGAGATTAGGAATAGAATAGAATATAGAATAGAGACTAGGAATAGAATAGAGATTAGGAATAGAATAGAATAACTTTATTGTCACTTTAAAGGTACACTAATCAGCATACATTAACGAGATTATGCACATGCACACACACACACACACGGCACAGAAACAACACAAGTCTAGTTCGGATCAACCCTTCTCTCACCCCCCCAAAACGTCCCTAGGAGCGGGGCGTCCTGTTTGGGGAGGCGGGAGGGGGCGCTTGGATGGGCTGACGTTTCCTTGCCCCCTATTTAACCATCTTCCCCGGAGTGGACGCGAGGCCACGACGCGCGACGTGTGTGTGTGTGTGTGTGTGTGTCCGTGTCGAGGCGGAGTGGAATGGAGTGGGGGGGCGCGTCCATCCTTCCTGCCCAAGCGCGAATCCCCTTTGCCATAAATGGTCACCCGCAACTGCAGCAGCAGCAGCGGCGGCGGCGGCTGCAACGCAGCCAAGTCGGGTTGGCGGGCGCGGCAAGAGCGCGGAGCCTCGCTCCGGGAAGGCGCGTCACTGGGGCGGGGGCCGCCCAGCCTGCAACTGCCGGCCCGGAGTCCGGACCCAGCCTCGCCGGCCCGGGATGGACGATCTGGGTAAGCGGTAAGAAGCGGCCGGAGGGAGCCCCCCGTCTCCGCCGCCGCCGCCGCGTCCTTTGGGTCTCCACCTCTTTCTCTCGCCCCTTCCCCTTTCGCCTCTCGGCTTGCTTTTTTTTTCCCACCGAATTCCCGGCCGATCTTCCCTTCTTTGCATGCCCGGTCGTCATTCCCCCCCCCCCGCGCGCTCTCTTTTCTTCCCGGACGGCGTTCTCGTTCTCCTCTTTCCCCCCCTCCCTCCCTCCCTCCCTCCTTAACATTCCCGCCTTCCTTTATTGCTGTGTCCTCGGCTTTCTTTCCGCTCTTTTCTCCCTTCTTTTCATTGACAAACGGGGCGGGAGGGGGGTGGGGTGGGGTGGGGTGGAGGGAGAGGCTGATGCCGTCGCTGCAACGGCTCCCCCCCCCAAATTCCACTTTTTCTTCTTCTTTTTTTTTCTCTCTCTCTCTCTCTCTGCGTCGCTTTTTCTTTTTTTCCGCGCAACGACGGCCGCGGTTTTTATTTTGGCACTCAACTTTTTTTTTTTTATCTTTCCCCAAACTTAACCCCACGCCCTTCTCTAACCCCCCCCCCTTGCAAGATCCCCCCTTTCCTCTCAGAGTTCTTCACGTGTTGCATGAGGGTCACCTCCCTTTTTTGCCCTTGCCAGAGAAGGGCGGTGCGGGGGGGGGAACTGTCTAGCTTCAGACGAGAACGTGGGACTGTGTGTGTCTTGCAACCCGGAATGGGACTGCTGCGTTGGAACGCGCGTTTGCGAACCCGGGTTTGCCTTTCGCCCTAAGGTCCAGGTTTTTTTTTTTTTTAAATACGTTGAGGGAATTCGCCTGACGTTCCCCGAGGGAACCGTCACGTGTGAATGGGGCTTGTCCTGCTTTGCAAACTTTCCGGATGGCGGGTTCCCACACCCGTGGCCTCTTGCGGTCTTTTGCCTTTCTCCGGGGCCTCTCCCAGCCTCTCGCTCATCCTCAGAGCTGGCCGGGGGGGGGGGGGGGGGGGGGGGGGGGGGGGGGAGGGAGGGGGAGAGGAGAGGAGACGGGGCCTTTCCTCAGCCCTTCCCTACTCAAGAAGGAAGGAATGCTATTTCTCAGCGTATTCCTGTGGCTTTGCGGAATTGCTGAACCAGCCTGCTAGACCAGCTTGCTTTGCAGCCTTCATTCTCGTCCCCTGCCTTGTGCATCCTACTACGGCTTCAAGAGAAGTCACACACACGCAGAGAGAGAGACACACACACCACACACACACCTTTGCCTTGGCAGAAAGGAATGAAGTCCTGGATCCATCACTTCAAAAGGTATTACGATGCTGTAAAATACCATTGTATCGTCTTCCGGTTTCCCCCGAAGCTGCCGCTGGAGCTCAAACCTAAATTTTACCCAGTCTGACCCTGTGCAGAGACTACAAAGCCCATCACCTCCAGCTCCTTAGTGGAGGTTGTGTGCAACGTAAGGTTGGGGAGGCCTAGCCAAGGCAGCAGCTGCCAAACCCTCAAAGAGGATTCTTAGCATTTGTTTGTTCGGTTTTCTTTCCCCCACTGCCCCTCCGTGTGACATAAGCTCCCAGTTTTCCAGTGGTTTTGGTCATTGGCATCCTCAGATGTTTTTTTTTAACTGGAATGAGATGCAGACTTTCTGGCTGTTGGTCTGAATTAGCGTTTCGCAAACTTAGCCACTTGAAAATGTACGGATTTCGAATCCCAGAATTTGCTGGCTGGGAATAGCAATAACAATAGCACTTAGACTTATATACCGCTTCATTGTGCTTTACAGCCCTCTCTAAGTGGTTTACAGAGTCAGCGTATTGCCCCCAACAATCTGGGTCCTCATTTTACTGACCTTGGAAGGATGGAAGACTGAGTCAACCTTGAGCCGGACACAATCAAACTCCTGGCAGTAAGCAGTGGATGAGCCTGCAATAGTGCAGTCTAACCACTGTGCCACCATGCGGTGGTAGGAGTTGAGGTCCACAGATCTTCAAGTGACACTGGTGATACAAATCTTCTTATGTGCAGGAGATCAAGCCATCATTTAATAGGGCTGGAAGGAGGACTTTCACACTCCGGTGTCAGGGTCAGATGGAGCTCGTCTGCCCCATCCCGCAATGCATGCTCATGGGTAAAGGCAGATACTTCTTGTCTAAGCTTCATTCCAACCTCTGTAAATATATATATATATATCCTATATTAGCTTCTGCATTCTCTAAGATGGATTCCATAAGGATTTGCAAAAATACCTCTTCTACAGAGCAGGAAGCAGACTCGGGGTCCTGAACTGGGCCGTAACCTTTTGCAAAATTCTCCCAGTGATCTTGATTGGTGGTTAGCTCCCAGCCCAGCTTGGCCTTCCTTGCAGGACTATTGTGGAGATGCAGTGATGGCTAGAGGAAGCTGGGCAGGATTACAGTAGTAGGAAATAAAATGAGAATGAAGTTGCTGATCTGGTCTGGATTTTCCAATGGGACCCTCTGACTGGGACATTGGGGTGAAGGATCCAGGCTCCGAAGAAGGTGACGGTGGCTTTCCCCCCCCCCCGTCTCTTTCCCTCCTCTCCCGCCCCTTTCCATGTCTTACCCTCCCTTCCAGCGCATTGCATTCCTGCCTCTCCCTCTGTGGTTTCTCCCTAGACGCATTTCTGCCCCGTGACATCAGACCAAAAGGAGCAGGAATGAGAGAGACCTTTTTTCATCCCCTTTCCCCCCTTTTTTTATGCCATCCCAGAAAGCGGCTGGAAAAACAGCCCCCTTTTCTAATTAGGATTTCCAAAGCGTTCTCCTTCTGACACCCTCTTCCACTTCTGTCCAAGGATGATCTGAGGATGAGAGCCTGTATTGGCTGGCAAAGAGAGGGGTATGGAAGGGAAGTCCCTTGCTGTGGGGTGGAGAGCTGGAAGGCTGTGGGTCAGGGGAGAATGCAAGGGATAGGGGAGATGTATCCATAAAAATGTGAGGGGCCGGGACTTCTGGATAAGGACAGATGCAAAAGCCACATCTCCAGCCTAGAATTCCCTCACAGTTGGAACAATTAATCAGTGGAACTGCTTGCCTCCAGAAGTCGTGAGTGCTCCAATACTGGACCTTTTAAAGAAGAGACTGGACAACCATTTATCCAGAATGGTATAGAATCTCTTGCTTGAGCCGGGGGTTGGACTAGAAGACCTCCAAGCTCCCTTCCAACTCTGTTTATCCTGTTACTCTTTGGGTACTGGAATCGGTCACTAGGAGATTAGACGAGACCAGAGTTTGCCAGACTGTTTATTGTGGAAAAGATTTTTTTGTGTTGTGGGGCCCCTCTTTGGAATATAATTCCTCCCCCCCCCCCATCAGATTTGCCCTGATCCTACTTTCACAAGACATTTAAAACCTGGTCTTGCCATCAAGCCTGGAGTCCCCATAGTGTGAGTGAATCGATTTCTTGCATATATTGATCGTGGGATACTCTTGAGGGTCCTCGTCTGCTATTTTATGTTAGTTCTGTTTATCATTTTGGTAGTGTATTTATTCTGTTTTAATTGCCAGCCACCCAAAGCCATGTACATGAGATGGGGAGAGCATATAAATTTATTAAACAAATACATAAATTTTCAAGAACAATTAAAAATAACCTGATTTTCTCAATAGGAGTCAGCTGCTTAAAGAGTTGAGGTAAAAAAATTAGATTTCTTTTATCCCACTTTTATTATTGATTATAGATCATTCGAAGTGGCAAGCATACTTAATACTCCTTCCTCCTATTTTCCACACAACAGCCCTGTGAGGTGGGTTGGACTGAGAGAAAGGGAATGGCCCAAAATCACCCAGCTAGCTTTCATGCCTAAGGCGGGACTAGAACTCATCATCTCCTGGTTTCAAATCTGGTGCCTTAACCATTAGACCAAATAGGCAAAAAGAAAAAAAGAGAGAGAGACAGAGAAAACTAGACCAAAGGTTTGCTGGGAAAGTGTACGTATTTGCAGATGTGAAACACATAAGAGGCCACAGTATGAATTATAATCCAACATGGGAAATCTGAATAAAAATAGAACATAGTATTTGAAAAGATCATTCGACCCAAATACTTCCATGTAGCACGTTTCTGTGTTGTCCTGGTGTGATTAGCTGCTGCTAATTTTTCTTCAGTCTACATAGAGTCAGAATGGCACTTAGAATTTATAAGCACTTAAAATTATCGTGGAGGAAATACCAAACTGCCCTAGATTTTGGGGAGGTAATAATGGCAGCATTTAATAGTTGGTAGACTAGTTGCCGAGTCTGGGCCCCTCCAGAATTCCCAAAATTGTTGGCTGGAATTTTGAAAACTCTGGTCCAGGGGTGTCTAACGTTGGCAACTTTAAGACCTGTGGACTTCAACTCCCAGAATTCTTCAGCCAGAAAAATTCGGAAAGTTGCAGTCCACAAGTCTTAAAGTTGCCACGTTTGGACACCCTTACTCGACGGCCTTACTCTACGCTTTCAGCCATAGGGCTACCAGCTTTCCAAAACTCCAGCAGTGTTTCTTAACCTTAGCAGCTAATATATGTGGACTTCAACTCCCGGAATTCGTTAGACAGCATATTTGTGCATTCAAAATGAATGGCTAAGCTAAGGAACTAAGGAGAAACTTCCTGACAGTTAGAACAATTAACCAGTAGAACAACCTGCCTCCAGAAGCGGTGAATGCTCCAACACTGGAAGTTTTTAAGAAGAGACTGGACAGCCATTTGCCGAAATGGTATAGGGTTACCTGCCTGAGCAGGGGGTTGGACTCGATGACCTCCAAGGTCCCTTCCAACTTTACTATTACTATTACTATTACTATTACTATTACTATTACTATTACTATTATTATTATTATTATTATTATTATTATTATTATTATTATTATTATTATTATTATTATTATTATTATTAAAAGATGGACTGCTTAAGTCAGGGGGAGACCTTGGAAGACCCGAGCACTGCCAGGCAGAACAGAAATCTTATTTAAATTACTAGAACAGTGTTTCTCCAACCTTTATAATGTGTGGACTCC